GAGCTTATTTAAATTAGATCTAGCTGCGAGACAGAGCAGAGTGTAAACGGGCTGGGATTAGGCAGGCTGGGCTGTCGTGCATATGCTGAGTTAAAGCCCTGGTTCCCTGAATAGTCCATGAAAAAAGACAGCTTTTTAGGGATGCTCCCACCACAACAGATGGGCTGGGGCGGGGGTCCCTCTGCACCACTGTGGGGACGGATCCAGACACATTTACACATCAATGCCTTCGATTTCTTCTCTACCTGAGGGTGTGGCAGCACTGTGACCTGATGGGACACAGTCCTGCCACAAAGGTGCCATTTGTGGTGCCATCAGAAGGGTGAGTGGCACCCAGGACTTCTCTGGTGTAGTGAGTGATTTAGAACAGCATGGTTATTAAAAGCCTCAGTAGGAGTTTGGCTGTGACTTAAGGAAGAGAAATCAACTTCAATTCCTCTAGTCAATACCAGTATAAACACAGGATTCCTGAACCATTGACTAATCCTGGATAGGATTTGCCAGCAAACCTGGAGAGAATTCAGCCACTTGGTTTTATAGCTTGCTATTTTCACGAAATATGGAGAAATACTTGTCATGTTTATTTACTTGGAATCACAGATCTGATGGTGGGCAGGGCCCTGCCTTCCACAGCACCAGAGCAGTGAGCACATCCCACCAGCCTGCCAAGGTTGAGAAAGTGTAGAGGAGGGTTTGCAGCATCCTACGTGGAATTAATAACTCTGTGAGGCTCTCAGACTAACGGAAATTGGATAGATGACTTTGGAAGAGTGTGTAGAGAGCACTGTAATGGATGTCAAGGCTCCTGGTCCCTCCTTTCCATCCCTTTCACACCTGAGCTCTTTGGCAGGTCTCTTCAAAGGCATTGCATGCAGAAATGTAGGCAGAAAAAAAGCTGAGGAGCAACTTGGGCAAACAGTTGTTTCATGTGCAGAGTTATTTACTCTACAAATCATCCAAACTGTGAGCAGGCTTCATAAAACATAATAAACAAGGGCTCTGGAGGGATGGGTGAGCTGGAGCCACGCAGGGTGGGCTGAGGCAGAGCAGATCCACAGCAGAACAGGAATCTTTCAAAAGGCTGAGGAGGTCCAGAGGAGTTCCCCAAGTGCTGCCCTAACAAATGAGCAACTCGGAGCTGCTGGAGCTGTGGCAGTTTCTGGAGGAGCAGGGCCTGCTGCCATGTGTTTTAATAAATGGGATCACACCAGCTGTCCGTGCAAATAAAACATTAGCATGTGTCAGACACTCTACCCAGGCACTTGCTGTAACTTGGGGGACATTTTGCAGCAGAGCCATCCAGGCACAGGCTGTGCCACACCACATCTTCCCCTGTGACTTTTGGGGTGCCAGGGGCTGTCCACACCCAGCTCCCCTCGCACATGTGCCAGTCCAGGCTCAGATGAAATCCTGGGATTTCACACTCTGTGTGCAGGGACTGATGGTGCACCAGGATTTTAGGTATTTCCTTCAGCTTCCCCTCTTTCCCCAGGTTCTGCTGTGAACCTCTTCAGAAAACAGGTATGGAGGTAAGAAAGAAATAAGCAGGAAAATCAATTTGCATCTGGCCAGTAAAATTCAGAGCTTTTTGAAAATCAGGGCTGAGTCTGTGCAATGTTAATGGCACACAGGGCTGCACGTGGTAGATCAGGACACTCAGAGGGATCCTTTTTGAGGAAGCTGATTCCAGAGCCAACCCCACAGGCACAGACTCACAAGTGAACAGGGAAAACCTCTCACCCTGCCCCAGAACTCTCCTATCCATTCCTGCCACAACGAGGAGCTTTAAAACCTCCTCCAGCTGAAGTGCCATGAAATCATGAATTTACTTGTATGGCTTTAAGAGGCGTTTATGTGGAAAAAGAACCTAAAACCGGCAACATTGCTTTTCAGAGGATGTCTGCCAGCTGAAGTGTTTACTACACCTAAATAATATGGCTATAATGGACTTAGTGCTGGTACCAGATCCCATGTGGATGCCAAGATCCAAAGCAGACGTCCCTGACCAGCAGAAGAACATGAAAACTTGGCAATGGAGAATATGTAATAAACCAGATCCACAGGCTGAGTGAAGCAGCTCCAAGGACAGTGATGAGCAAAGCTGGAAAGAGTTCTAAGAATTCCATATCAGAGGCCACACAGCACTTATGCCTGGATGGCAAGAGGTGAGATGTGCCTGGCTTGTGGGGACACACAGTGTCACCCTGCAGAACATCTCACCTCCTGCTCTTCCTGATTATGTGCTGCCCTGAACAACTTGTAATTGCTAGAATATCAGTAATTACCTCTTACAGTTGTTGTGGAGCTTAAGTGGTGCAAGTTAATCCGTGCAAGAACCAAATTTCCTGGGTATTGTTTGAATGATTACTTTTTTATTATTGTTACAAGGAATCCTGGTTGTTCACATTCAGTCTAATTTCACTTAGGAATGTCCATTAAAATTTGAATACTCAAAGAAAATACAGAGGAACTTTTTCAACATCAGAGTTGTTAAATTACTACAATCAAATAGGCCCTTACGACTCAGAATATGCTGTGATTCCGTGAAATACTTTTTCCAGGAAGCTTGTTCAGTTCAGAGAGGATCATTCTTCTGTAATGATCCCAGCAAAACCATAGCTCACACTGGTCTCTGAGGGTATAAATGGGTACAATGCCCTGTTCTGGGACAGAACTTGAACTTCTTTCAATCAGTCAACAAATAAAACCACTTGGAGAACTAAGGGTTTCCAAAAAAAAAAAAAAAATATTTGCCAGTTTGCTTTAGACAGTTTGCCAAACAGGAATAGGAGTGAAATATGTTGAGTGATTTATTACAAGTGATTTGCCAGCTCGAGCAAGTGCATCCTTGCTCTCCTTAATTTAAAGACAGAAAATGAATGCAAAGAGATGCAGAGATGCTCTAAAGCAGCTTGAACCCACCACAAAAGACCAGGGCTCCAGATTGCCACCCAGCAAGACCTCTGCACGTCACACTGCACATCAGCACTGCCCTTTCTCTCCCGGATCTTCCATCATTTGTCTTTTTTTAAACCTCTGCACAGCTTACGCCGTGAGAGCGCCGGCTCACACGCTGTGCAATGGTTTCCATTAACGCACTTCAAACCTGACTTGCAGCTGCTGTGCTTATTCACTCCAGAGCCCTCCCCAGCCCAGGGCCCTGCCTCGCGTTGTGTGATGCTTCCCTGTGCTCAGAGGAATGGAGTAAAACCACGACACAACCTTCCTGTCTTGGCAAAGCCACTTTTGCAGCCGGATCCCCCTAGAAGGAACAGCTTGACACAGTTTGGGGTTTGGTTCTTCATTCTCTCCTAAGTGCTGCCTCTTTCTTTTAACTTTTAAATTAATCCACTAGTTCATTAAATATATATATATGAGGAAAAGCCCACAGGTGAACTTGGCATACACATAATACATTCATGTCTCCCTACTCCTGACTTGGCTAATGGGATAAGGTATAGCCTGAATAATTTCAAGACTGTAAGGTACACTGAGAATTGTTTAAAGTGTAATTTCCAAAGATATGGGTAGGAAATAATCCTCTGGTTTTAGCCCTACCATGGTAACAATGAGTATCAGTTTAATCCTGGAAGGAAGATGAGTGGAAATAATGCATTTCAGTCCCATTGTTCTCAAATCAGATGGCTCACGTCTCCTCAGAGAGCAGAGAATTTGGGTTAAGTACACTGGGCTGCTGCTGACAAAACCTTCCAGGCGTCTACAGGAGAAATGCAGCCCTCACCACCTCAGATGAAAGTTAGGGATCATGACAAAATGCAGAGGGAAACCAGGGCTTCTATCAGGGCTTGATTTTGGTTCACTGGAACAGCTCAGAGGGGAAACCGAGAGAGTTATGTCTAAACACTTACCGACTCTGATCTTAAATCTAAATGCACATATGCACACCTGCTTTCAGTGAGAAGCAATGGTTCTGATTCATTTCCATTTAAATTCCCTCCCTTCAAGTGTGGGAACATCCCAACGACTTCAGTACACATGCAGCTTTAAATTCCAACTGCCCGCTGATTAACCCCACCTGAAATTCATGTTCCAAATAAAAAATTGAGCAGCTATCACATGCAAGCCTGGCAGCCAAGGGGCCATGGAGATTGGTGTCTCGCTCTCTTCTGTCCCTCCTTCCGTGTCTCTTACATTTTTCAAGCTCAATGCTCCAGTAAACAAATGCCTCTACCCGCCAGAGCGCTGGAGCACGGCAAGTGTTGATGCTGAAATCCTTTCCACGCATGGGCGTGTTGGATTTAGCACCGTGTGGAGAGCAGCAAAGCCGTGCTGAAGTCAGGAGGGGCTGCTAAAATCAGCTACGGATTTCCTCAAAACAGCAAAAATAGCAGCCTCTGCCTTCCACGATGCAGCTCCTTTTTAGAAGCCTATGCTACACTCTATGTCCAAAACTTTCTGAAATTAGGAGCTGTCACTATACTGAAGGAAAGGGCTCTGGATCAACACAAGGAACTGGGAGGGGGGAAAGATGGTTTTATTTCCCCTGAACTTGCTGGCCGATTTCCAGCAGAAGGGAAGGAGATGCAGAAAATGCAGGGGAAAGGTGGAGATTTGGGGATTTCTGGCCATGATCTGCCACCTTTGGAGGGGACCCGAGAGTCCCCGGCGCGACACTGCGGAGCGGGGCCGGCTGTCCCGGGCTGTGCGGCACCAGGAACTCCGGACCGGGACAAGGGAAGCTCTGGGCACGGGAAGGAGCTCCGGGGAGGGTTGCACGGGCCGGGGCAGGATTTACCCCGGTGCAAGGTCGGTCTCTGCTCAGCGTGGCGGGGCAGGAGCGGGTGCGGGGAGGGGCGCAGCAAGCGGAGCCGAGACCCTCACAAATCCCTCCTGAGCGCACCCTGGGTCCCGTCAGGGCTGCCCGGGAGGAACAGCCCCATTCCTGACCCTGTCCCTGCTCCAGCTTCCCCCTCCTGCCCCGCCCGGCTCCGCAAAGTTTGGCCAGCCGGGGGAGGAGGCGGCTGCCGAGCATCCCTCACCTGGATGACCGTCTTCAGCGTGGAGGTGTCCACGATGGCGGTGCAGATGAGGGAGTCGGGATCCTGGTCCTTGACGTAGATCTGCCCCATGGTGAAGATCATGGGGATGGCGAGCAGGAAGGAGGCGATCCAGATGCAGCTGATGAACTTCTTGGTGCGGCTGCGGGACATGATGCTCTTGGCTTTGAAGGGGTGGCAGATGGCCATGTAGCGCTCCACGCTGAGGCTGGCGATGTTGAGCGCCGTGGCATAGGTGCAGGCGTCCCGGAGGAAGTAGTAGCCCTTGCAAACGGCTCCCCCGAAAGCCCAGGGGTGATGGACCCAGATGAAGTTGTAGAGCTCGATGGGCATGCAGAGGAGGAAGATGAGGAGGTCGGAGAAGGCGAGGCTGGCCAGGTGGTAGTGCACGGTGCTCTGCAGGTTCTGCAGCGACTTCTTCCGCACCAGCGTGTACGCCGTGATGGAGTTGCCCACGGTGCCCACCAAGAAAAGAGCCAAGTAGATGACGGTCACCATCACTTTGGAGTAGATGTCGGTGTTGACGTCCAGGTCCTCCTCGTCGGGCACTTTGGGGAGCAGGTCGGAGCGGTTGGACGCGTTGGCATAGGCGCTGGGGTGCGGGTGCAGCGGCACGGCCGGGGCCGTGGCGTTCGGGTGCATCCCCGGCGCCGGGCAGCGCCGCCCGGAGCCGCCCGGAGCCGCCGCTGCCCCCGGCGGGGAACTTGGCTCGTTTTAATGCGGCGGGAGGAGCCGGCGGTCCCGGGGCTGCCGCGCGTGTGCGGCTGCGAGACGCGCCCCCCGCTCCGTGCGAGCGGCACCGCTCCCTCCTCCCGGCGGCTCCCCCCGCACACACCGGTGTGCCCCGGCTGAGGGAGCCGCCCCGCACACGGCACACACACCGGGACAGATACACACACACCGGGATAGGGATATACACACCGGGACAGAGATACACACACACCGGGATAGGGATATACACACCGGGACAGAGATACACACACACACCGGGATAGGGATATACACACCGGGACAGGGACACCCACACCGGGACAGGGACACCCACACCGGGACAGAGATACACACACCGGGATAGGGATATACACACCGGGACAGGGACACCCACACCGGGACAGATACACACACACCGGGATAGGGATATACACACCGGGACACGGATACACACACCGGGACAGGGACACACACACCGGGACAGATACACACACACCGGGATAGGGATATACACACCGGGACAGGGACACACACACCGGGACAGAGATACACCCACACCGGGACAGGGACACCCACACCGGGACACGGACACGCACACCGGGATAGGGACACACCGAGACACACACACCGGGACATGGATACACCGAGACACACACACCGGGACAGGGACGCACACCAGGACACACAGACAGGGACAGGGACACACACACCGGGAAACGCATGCACACACACCGGGACGCACACACCAGGACACGGATACACACACAGGGATGTGGATACACACCGGGACACACACACTCCGGGAAACGCATACACACACACCAGGACACGGATATATACACCGGGACAGGGACACACCGGGACACACATACCGGGACGTGGATACACGCTCCAGGACACGGATACACGCTGGGACACACACACGCACCGGGGCAGTCGCACACACACACACACACACACACACACACCGGCACACAGACCCTCCCCGCCGGTCACTGCAGAGCACCCCTGCCCCGGCCGAGAGGGGTTCTGCAGCCCCAGCTCGGTCCCCAAAGTGCGGCCCGTGGAGGAAGAGAGAGGGAGCAGGTCCCGGGCTGGGCTGAGACTCCCCCACATCTCCATCCCTCACTAAGTCAGACATAGAGGCACGGCTGGAAGCTGAGAGCTGGTTAGGGGCTGCTTGTGGGTCTGAGCCCCCTCCTTCATCCCCCACTGGGTGAGGAGAGGTACCAGGGGTGCTCTAACACTCCTGTACATCTGCAGGTACTGCTGATTCCCAAATATCCACTCAGCTCTTGCTGCTGCTAGGATAAATGCATGTAAATGAAGGAGAAACGCACCAAAAAATACCTACCTGTGCCCTGACCTGCTTGGGGCACTCTCAGTGCCATGGCACAGCTGCTTTGCTTTGGTCCCTATCCGTGTCTTTTCCCTTAATATCTTCATATTTGGGGATGTGGGCTCCTCTATGAGCTTTCCTGTTGCAGGGACAGGGGCTGTGGGGGTGTCACAGTGATGCTGAAGGTGATGGATCTTCCACAGGGAAAGGTTCCCCAAGAATGACTGGTCTGTGATGGGTTTACCCTTTCAGCCACCCTGTAAAGCTCTGGTGAGCTGCTTGTCCACTTTGAGACAAAAATCTTTAAAAATGAAGAGAGGAGATGGAGGAAAATCCCACTCAGGTTTCCTCAAAGACAGCCATCATTTTTCCTGTTCATTAGCAGAAGCTGAGTACCTTGTTTCCAATAGCCAGTGGGCTCTGTGTTCACCCAGACTGCTTACCTAGCTGATGAAAGATGTCTAATTCTTCAGTCAATCAAATCATCTCCTGATTACCAGCAGCAAACTTTCCCCAGCCGTCTACCAAGAATCAATATTCCCCCCAGTTTTGCTCCTCTTACATCCATCCAATAAGAACACCATGGAAGACTAACCAAAATCAGATTTATTTAGTCATGTTATTCATACCAATTTGGAGAGAAATATTTTCCAGCACTCATCCCACTCTAGTTTAAAGAATGACTAATCTCTTAACACCAGTTTTTCTTCCATTTCAGCTCTTCTATTATGAGATTTCTATTAGTTGAGAGGAGTTTGTCAGAGTTGCTGTTCCCAGCTGGTCTCCCCCATTGCTCCTGGCCCTTGGACAAGGTTTGGAATGGATCCAGAGAATTTATCCTGGAAAAGGAAAATGGAACATGAAGGAAGTTGGTGAGGTGTACTGATGTCTGAAGGAGAGCTGCAGCTGGAATGCAAACCTTCTCCTGGCTACCCCCTGTCCCCAGCCCTCAACCCCCAAGCTGGGGGGAGCTCAGAGCCCCGTGATTTAAGCACAAATCCACAATTATGGACTAAAGCAGCTCTCCCACAGATGCAGTGAGTGAGTTCTGTTGGGATCTTTATCTGTAATGAAGAGTTATTGTCCCTTCTGGTGCTGTAACTTCATTTTGGCCTTGTGAAAAGCAGTTGCTATTCCCACAAACAAGATACCCATCTGCTGGTCTAATTTTGCAGTGTGGATGTGCACGTTTATATCAATAGCTGTCTGCAGAAATGCTCTGGTTTGGGTTTTGCTGCCTCATGTCTCTGCCCACAGATGTTGCTCAGGCATGGCTGACAACAAAGAGAGAATTGCCCCAGCTCTTCCTGAGGGCTCCATGTGCTGCCTCTTCCACTTTCCCTCCATGCCAAGTACTGGCAGGGAATATCAAGAGATATAGTTTAAAAATAATTCTAATTGCAAACTGAAATAGCAGGTACCTGGAAATAATGTGGCTGTTGATCTACAATCAACACTCCAACAGGCTGGTGCAGTTTGTGCTGGCCAAATCTCTCCTTTCCTAACAATGCCTGGGGAAGGCACTATCCCAGAAGTTGGTAGGGCCACCCCAAAAATGGGCTGAGTACTCCCATCAGGAAAGGCCTCAGCAGTGCATTTCTATGAGCTAATTAATTTAATAAATTCTATTAATTCCTTGCCAAATCTGCCTCAACCACACATGAAGGATTCTCAGGAGCAGACAGCTTGGTTTCTCACAGACAGGGTGATGGGCACAGATCTTGTCTCCTGGCATGCAGCCTTGCATTCCCCGTGCAGGGATCAACCTTTCCCCTTTTCTGGAAAGCTTTTGCCCAGGCAGGTTCTCCCTTCTGTCCTCACCTCGCTTTTACAGAGCTGGTCCAGCCTGAGACCTGCCAGTCCTGGTGTCCAAGCAGGCACAGGCTGAGCCTGCCAGAGGAAGACATCCAAGATATCCATCCCTTTCCCATTCCACACCCACCCCTTTTCCTCTCTGTGTAGCACCTCTTTTCTCTCCCCGCTGCCAGCGCATGCCCTGGGGGATTTGTGAATTCCCTTTCTACAAAACGAATGACGAAAGCATCTCTTCTCACCTTCACTTCTGCTCCCAGCGAGGTTTTAATCCACATTTCCCTTCCATCCAAAGCAGAGGCGGGGATGAACCGCTTCCTTCTGGTGCTCCAAAGCTTCCACCATAAATCCCCACTGTTTGTTTCGGAACCAGCCGACCTTTTAGCTAATCTGGGCTCGTTTTAATATATTTTGTGTGTGTGTGTCTGCGGCTTAAAAAAGGAAAAGAATCATGGAAACCAAGAAACGCCTCATCTCAAATGTTACAGCAAGGCATTTACTTAAAATCTTGCTGGAAAATGTCATCCAAAAACCTCATCTATTTAAACTGCCTGGACTTCGAGCTGAGGGTCCCACTGTGCCTCACCCCCTTTTATGTAGACTTAAGTATTTTTTATGTTTTTCTTTTTCCAGGTGATTCCAGTCACTAGGAATTTTTTGTGTTAATCTTTTTCCTGCCTGATTTCACCGGGCTGGATTTTTCCAAATGGCACAGGAGGCAGCAGAGGGAAAGCTCTGCAAGAGGTGCTAAGAGACAGCATCAACCTTTTTCCCATGGAGCACCCAGCCCCAAAGCCCTGCTAGAGCAGGTTCATGAGGCAGGGGATGCTGGATTTATTGAAGCCTTTAAAATCACTTCCCACCGGGCTCACTATAGACAGCATCTCCCCTAAAAGTCAGGAATGTCTAAGATGGGTTGGGAAGGTAAAATCCTGGAGTGTACAGGGATTTTGTTGGGGCATGCTGTGCCTTAAAAGTGAGGAAGTGAGGGAGAAAGGGTGATGGAAAAAGGGACATCGATCAGCATTGTTGGTGGCAATATTGACTGGATCATTACTTACAGACACTCCTACACTCAACTTATTGCAAAATAAAGTGTTGGCTTGGCTGAGCAATAAACAGTATTTACTGCCTTTGGCTGGACTGATTTCAGACGAGTATTTTAAATCAAACCAGTTGATACACAGGACATTTATTGACTCTGGTTTTCATAGCAGATTCACCTGCTGAGGCTCTGCAGTGTGAGTGAGTTGGTGTGTGAGTTGGCAAAGTGGACAGACGTGCCCAGAGCAGAGCAATGATCACACACCCCAGCATGTTTGTTCTTAGGCAGCTTTAAAAAAGAAAAAGGCAGCCCAAAACCCAGAACATGCTATGATGTGTATGATGCTACTGGTAAGAGAATCACACCGAAGAAGGATCAGTTTTTGGAAAGAAGAACTGGGAAATAAGGTGTCAAGGCACCTTTTACAGATCCTGTATTCTATGTGTTGTATGGTCAAATTCAGTTCTTTACTCAGACAAAATTCCTTCTAAAATAATGAATGTACTGGCTGACAGACCCTGTAGTATTTGTCTCAAACGTCAGAGACTGATGCATTAACTGGACACCCACAGGAGATATCAACTGCTTTAGCTTAGAGATAAAAGGGTTTGGGATCCCTTGGGCTGGTACTGCAACAAGACCAAATCTGATTCCTCATGGCAATAAGTGCATTTTGTCTTCATACATGCAGTACAAGTGCTCACCACACAGACAGTCATGCTGCACTCAGGGTTTGTCTTTGGAAATCCTGAGGTTTATTCCAAGAACAAATACAAAAAATTGAC